TATGGCCTGTTGCACAGCTCTTTATCCTTTTTCACAAACCTCCTCCCATGTAGCTGTCAAATTGTATTTTGGGGCATTAATACCCACAAGGTATATGCCAAGGCTATTTCAAAGGTGGGGAATGAAAGGACTAATAGATGGCACCAGGCAACAAGGCACTGTTTTCAAGCGGTAAATGTGGAAAGTACTGCAAGCATATGTTGTGAATGTTCTAAGTGATCACTGTCAGAAAGGCAAAATCCCATCCTTTGCAACAGGTGAGACTAAAAACTTCAGAAAAGGCCACTGACTTTGGATGCTCCAGTTTTACACAACCTGGGTCTCCACCTATAAGCACCCCCAACTCTAACTGAAATTGAAGGAATTCTTAAACACAACTCTATATTATTATTAACTGAAAAGTCAGGCCATAACTCGCTTCGTCACATTTGGGTGCCCATGTGTGACAATGTTTTCAATGACCCTAACGCCTCACAAATTCAGCCAGCTCTTGTCCACCCATGATCATGTCATTAATGACAGGCTGGAGGACTTGGCTGAAGGAAAATGAGATTACACTTCAGATACAGTGAATATTGGAATACTCAAAAGGATCAAGCAAAGGGATTATGGGAAGGGTGAGTCTCTGTTCCCACCATCTCCTGTCTCTGAAATAGAGCCCAGACTTTTTCTGGGAGATCAGGAGTACTTACCAATATTCCCAAAAAACATCCCAGGAAAATATTACAGTACTTACAAAGCACATTAGACTTTGGAATTGCACCTTATGCATGAGTAATTTGAACCTAATATGATTTACAATAGTAGTTCCTTACATCAGATAGATTATTTTAGGAATTCTAGCAGAGTTTTTATAGTGCTGACATAAGTTAATTGTTAATACTGTTACTACAAATTGATATGCTATTGTTTCCATAAACAGCATTGGCTTCTGAGAATGTATATGTTCTGGCAATTGTACAATTAACTTGATTCTGGACTGCAGTTTATTATATTGAGGTATAGTATGTATGCGACCTCAAGAGTTGCTTAATTTTATAGCGAGAAACTGTAGTGCCAGATTTGAAGTTTGAAATGTTTGAGTTTTAATTAGTAACTTTAAGGTTTGGGGGGAGAGTTTTATGGACAGAAACAAATGAAAGAGAATTTTTGCTGCTTAGATTTATACTGGTGCTAACTAGAAACATTACTGATAATCTCAGCAGGGATATCAGGTAATTAATTAACATATAGTATTAATTTTCTCTCACCCCTATGAAGGAGAGCTGAGTCACATTGCTGGGACGGTGTGGGAAATCTCTCATTGCTACTGCTTGTGCTGTTCCTGCCCCATGCTTATAGAAAAGACATCCATTTTCAGGAGCTTTCAGAGGCACTAAATTCACCTGAGATTTTTCTTTCTAAATTAAGGGAGGAGGGAGATTTAAAAAAAAAAGATACGAAAAATCAAACCCTTCTTTTCTAACAGCTGGGAAGGGTGAGGTCCTAGAAGACTGGAGAAGGGCAAGCATAGTATCTATTGTGACGGCGCGATGGGGTTCCCCCGTCTCCTGCACCCCGAAATGGCACAAACAGACTGCACCAGCTGGTGTAATGGAGGTTGTTTATTGCCTCTCCAGGATACAGCACAGCACAGATGTAATCTGGTCACAGAGCTGGGCTAGGATGCCTCAGGCCCCCTTGAGATGGGGGAGACTGGGCCCCTAAACTCCAGTCCCTTTCCCTAGGCTGTCTCCTCCATGCTTCCAGCCAACAACTCACTAACCCTCTTCCAGCCCTGCCCCCCAGCCAGGGCAGCATCCACCTTCCTTTGTTCCTCTCCATGGGGGGTGTCTGGTTCAACAAGTTTGGCATTACCTTTGCATAGTGAGGTTTTCCCTGCTGGGTCTTGCTCCAGACAGCAGGGGTCACCACAGCCCAGCAAGTACCCCCACTACGTCACACCTATCTTTGGAAAAAGGAACTCAAAAGACCTGGGAAATTATAAATGAGTCAGCCTAACTGCAGTACCTGGAATGGTACTGTAACAAATTATTAAATAATTTGTAATCACTGATGATCTCGTATAAGATTTTCAGTGTTCTTGCGGAAATACTATGCTGCTCCTGTTCGGGCAAAAGCCCTCTTGCGCAAAAGCATTTGCACAAGAGGGCCAGTGTAGGCAATGCGGTATTGTTTTGCGCAAAAAAGCCCCGATGGCGAAAATGGCGATCGGGGCTTTCTTGCGCAAAACCACGTCTAGATTGGCATGGACACTTTTCCGCAAAAAGTGCTTTCGCGTAAAAGCATCCGGGCCAATCTAGGTCCTCTTTTCCGCAAATATTTTTAACGGAAAAGTTTTCCGTTAAAAGCATTTGCAGAAAATCATGCCAGTCTAGACGTAGCCTAACAGTGTAAAATTTTATGTATCTCTCTGCAGTCTTTGTGTGTTTAAGAAGGATTCACCAATTATTCTCTGTCTAGCATGGCTGACTGTCTGTTAGTCAGGACCTTCCACAGAAGTATGAGATGATGGTTTCCCTTGTTGTCTTAGGTGAAGGTTAAAGATAGACTCTCTATGTGTCCCTTATACTCCCAAAGAATTGTCTTTGTTCTCAAGTTACAAAGGTCTCCTGAAGATTCAATCTTCAGCATCTTCATGGGATGCAGGAGCCTGTTAATTCTCTCTCTCAAGTTCAGGCTCAAGACAATCCCTGCTAGTTTAGCTTGATAGCTTTGTTTATGGCTAATATGTATACTGAGGTAAATACCCATTCCTTTGTCTAGCGCAGACCTGTCCTGTCATATTGCCTTTGCCTTGCCTAGGCTGCCTTAGTGTTAAATATTTTCTGATAACATTCTACAGAGGAAATACATAACTTCACGTATAAGGTTATCACCTGCATTTTATAATGCTGTTAATGACCAAAGTGTTATTTGTTTTCAAGTGATACCTTACAAGCACATCATGTAGAAACAACATTGAAATCATGTGGAAGGTTTTAATACAGAAATGCTTAGAAGCACATCTCACCCCATACACAATTGCCGTAGGATCAAGCCCTAGCTGAAGAATATGCAAGTAGGTCAGAACCCTTCTGCCTAGACAAGGCATCAGCCACAATATTTTCTTTCCATTTAATAGGTACAATCTCCTTGACATACTCTTGGAGTATGATATTCTAGTACAACAGCTCACAGTTAATGCCTTTGGTTCTGTGTACTCAGGCCAGGGGTGAAAGTAGACACCAGAACTTACTGGTGTGCCCTGCACCGGGCCTGGTGTCCTTAACAAGGAGGCAAGGGTGGCTCTAGACACCTCCCCCCCAAAAAAAGGGTGTGGTCTTGGGCAGAAGGGGAAGGTCAGGTGCAGAACCCCCCAGCCAGTACTTCATGGTCAGTGGCTGGGAGCTCTGAGGTTCTGGTGGCAATTAGAAGGGCCCAGGGGTCAGAGTCCTTTTAAATTACCCTTTTAAATCGATGGGCAAGTGCTCCTTTTGCTACCTCACATCAGCAGTCCAAATGGTAGGGTCTGGCAGTAACTTTGCTGCCTGGGCAAAAGGGGCAGCAAAGCGCTGCCACAGAGGCGCAGCCACACCCTGCTGGCAGGGCCACTGTCATAGGGGGAGCAAGAAGTCTGTGGTGCACAGACAGGTCCTGCAGCCCGTTCTTACCCGTGCACCGCACTGGCCCACACTAGCTCACTTCTATCTCTGACTCAGACTAAAGGGGAATGATCAGCCCTATCTTTGTAACAAATTTTCTGTTACAAAGATAGGGCTGTAATGGACTGCCCATACTATGGCATAACATTTTCTGTTAAAAAGATAGGGATGTAACTATGTCCATGTATGGCATTACATTCCACACAAGCTCATCTGAAGAAATGGGTTTTGCTCATGAAGGCTCATGATATGATACATATATTTTCGTTAGTCTCTAAAGCAGGGGTGGGGAACCTCAGGCCCAATGCAGCCCCTGGCTTGCCTGGATCCTGCACCTGAGGCTCATGGTCCCCTCCCACTATTGAGAAGCCTGTGCTTGGTATTCCAGCCTCCCGCTACCCCACTGTGGAGCTGGAGAACCCAAAATCTACTAAGCTGGGCCCCCTTAGGCTTTGTTGTGCAAGGAGAGTATGGGGAGTGTTTTCTTTCTCCTCAATCAGGAGCCACGTCAGTGAGGGTATGGCTTCCTCCCTTCTCACTTGTGTGTGGCCCCTGACTGATTTTTCTATGGGCCAGTGGCCACCAACCCAACAAAGGTTCCCCACCTCTGCTCTAAGGTGCCGTAGGACTACTCATTATTCCTTTTCTACCACAAAGTAGTTCTGCTCTGTGTGTGTCCATTTCTCACTTAAGAAAGCAATGGTGTGTTTTGTTACTTCCCCCAACCTGATTTCATTAAAACATCACTTAGCCCAATGGCTGATGCATCTCCATAGAGTTCATACTCTTTGTCAAAATCTGACCTGGCCAGCAGAGTCTTTCAGATAAAATTTTCTTGATCTGAACTTGACACATATAACCTTAAAAAAAAAGACTCGGAGGAGGAGGGGAATTTGATAATTCTTCAAATATGTTAAGAGCTGTTATAAAGAGCATGTTGATGAATTGGTCTCCATATCCACTGGATGTAGGAAAAGAAGTAATGTGCTTAATCTGCAGTAAGAAAGATGTAGGTTAGATATTAGGAAAAACTAAACTTTCTATCTATAAGCATAACTCTGGCACAGGTGTCCAAGGGAGTGTGTGGAATACCCATCACTGGGATTTTTTAAAACAGGACAGATAAATACTTGTCAGGGATGCTCTAGGTTTACTTGGTCCTGCTTCAGTGCAAGGGGCTGGCTTTTCAAGGTCTCTTCCATTCCTAAATTTCTATCATTCTATGAGTTCAGGTCTCTGAAGTTTAATCCCCATGGTCTTTCATAATCTTTAGCATTTACTGAAAATAGGACAGCTCGCTAGATATCTGGATGTGCCATTATGGCAATTAACATTGGCATTTATTGTCCAACACAGGTGACCCACTGGCAAAGTCCATACTTTTTTGCCTACTTCCCTACAGCCAGTTCCTTCCCAGCTCTTCTTGCTGATATACTGTGTGGTGGCATAGGATGCATTGGCTTCTCCTGGGTAAGTGGATCATGGTAGATGTTGCTATGCATCTCAAAGAACTGTCTTGCAAAGATCTAAGGAATGTGAATAATTTTATTTGGGGTAAGCAGTCAGCCTGGAAGTCAATGGGGCAATGCACTGGGGTTAGGTTAAATTACTCATGAGCATAAATAAATAAATACTAACTATGGAATGACTCTGATAATGACAACCTGCCACCATGAAAACTTTCTATCCAAAATATGGATGGGTTGGTAGTTATAGGAGGGGGAAAACAATCTACTCTCATTTCCTGAAAGGACACTGACAGTTACAACAGTGAGTTCTCTTACGATCAGGATAAAAACACGTTGTTGCTATATTAAAGCAAAAGGGGACCCAGACTAATTAATTAATAGGAGAAAAGAGTGAAATGACTGTACAGAAAATCCTCTCAGATTCACAATGTAAACAAAAATATTTTTCTTCTAATCTCTTTCATGTATCATCATTGTAGGTGTCACAACTAAGAATTAAAAAAAAAACCAAGCTGTTAAGCAAAGTTATTTTTAAACTAAGTGTCCTCCAAAACTATATTTTATTCTGAAGACAAATTTTCCAAGCAGAGTAGATAGAGGGAAATACAGGCTTCCGTGTTAAAATAAAATCATATCTCCATGGATTGCGAATGGTCTATATAGCCTTTCAACTCTAGATCACTTGCTTGAATGCAGCCGAAACCAGGCAGGGACTGGAAGTTGTTATTGGCAAAATGGTTGTTTACTGGCTTACCAAGAGTTGATGAATTCATTCATTTCTATGGGGACCATATTTCCTTCTGCTAAGTATGGGACACCTGCTGAATATGGGATACCTCATAAAATTATTTGTATTCAAGCGAGTTCAATGTCAATCAATCAGAAATATGTAGTACAAACATTCAAATTAATATCAAGTTGATTTAGCCCCACTGAGAAGAAATAGCTGGAATATTTTAATTTACTTTCTTATGTTTGCATGAGGAAAGGTGACAAATACAGGCACACACACTTCCATAACATGAGGATGGGGGTGACCAATTGACCTGACCCAACCTTCCCTGCCCTGTGCTGTCTGTGGGCTCTGCTAATTAGCTGGGTGGCATTTGAATCTCTTTAGGGTGGTCGCCCAAGTGCTCAACTTATGGAGGTTCCTGCATAAACCCTGGTTCCACAAGCCAACTCTGAGGGTTCCATAGACATCCCCTCAGAAATTAGTGCTTGGCAACTGTTGATCAATGTTAAATGTTAACAATCAAACCTTTGCGCTTGGTTTATTCCCTTTATTTCATTTCCCACTTTAGGCTGCAAGTCCAGCTTGCACAGAGCTGGAGACAGTCATGATGGATTGGTTGGGAAAGATGATTAATTTGCCTGAAGCGTTTTTAGCTGGGAAGAATGGAGAAGGTGGAGGAGTCATTCAGGTAGGATGGAATGAGAAAACAGACTGTGCAGTGAATGTACAGGTCCTCATTGTTTCAAACCAAAGCATTCTTTGTGGAACTCCTTCAGATTCAGAAAATGACAGACTATAAGAATGAGCATAAGCCTTTATTTAACATAGCAGTACAATATAGTGAACTATGTGAGTCATATTGTCACTGTTGACTACATGTGGTGCATACGCATGAAGGATACGTCCACATTGCTGTGGGAGATGTAACTCCCAACTCAGGTGGGTGCACACACGCTTGCTCTGCTAGCTAAAAATGGCAGTGTGGCCATGGCAGTACAGTGACAGCTTGGGCTAGATGCCTGAATACAAATGTCGGATCTCAGATGAGATTGTACATGAATAGCTATCCTGTCACTGCAGTCACACTGTTATGTTTTGTTTTGCTTTTGTTTTAGTGCACTAGTTTGATCAGAGCTAGTCTATGTACACCCATCCAAGAAGGGCATTATACCTCCTGGCTGCCGTATGGATGTGCCCTAGGAACTGATGATTTTAGGATACAGAGTACAGAGTGGACAGGTACACAAGGAAAGGAAGGGGACCTGACTTTTACACTCTTACACAATCTGGTGTTTTCTCATTATCAAGTGTTACCTTTGAACTATACAGCTGTAAAGATTTTTCTTTGTTATGGATTCTATATTTGCACCCTTAACTCCATCTTGTAAGAGGGTTTCTTTTAAGCTGAGACTTTCCTTTATTGTGCTTTATTGTTTTTATTAAACTGTAGCTCAGTGACACCCTATATATATTTCCTAGCTTGGAAACTCTGCTCTGGTCAGTCCTAGAGTTGCTACCTTTCGTTCAAGTGAACATCAAAGCAAAAACTATCCTCAGCCCTCTTTGTCTAGCAATTCTCACTCTTTGCACTAAGTCCTTACCATGTGAAAGGTGACAACATGAGGGTATGAAGTTAGCTCTCCCCATTGCAGTGTTCTCTTTTCCTTCTAGCTGTATATCCTTTCTGATCAGTGACTTCACATTCATGGGGAAACTGAGGCTGAGGGATTAAATGCATAACTTGGTGAAGGGGGAGGCAGTGTGGTTTAGCAGACTGTATATTGAACTGGGAGTTTTAACCAGCCTCTCTCTCTCTCACTGACTTGGGCAAGTCACTTAATCTGCCTGAGTCTCAGTTTTCCCTTCTGTACATTGTATCTGTAAATTTACCTGCTGCAGCAGGCTTTTGAGACAGAATTAATATTTCTATGAACTTTGAGAACTTTGAGATCCTTTAGTAAAAGATGCTGTATAAATCTAAGTAATATTTGAATTACACAGTGTGGTGAAGTGGTAACAAAACTCAGACGTCCCTGTTTCCCATCCTTCTCCATCCATTAGAGCAAACACTTCTTCTTTGATGTATATACTCTCCTACAAGATCTGACATATGAAGAAGGATGGTTGGGTCATTAAGGAAGTGAACTGGGACGCAAGAAATTTAGGTTCACTTCCTGTCTCTGACACAGATTCCCTGGATGACCTGGTACAAATTACTTAGGGTATTGCTGTAATGGAGGTAGACTTACTTGCACTAACATGCTAAAACAGCAGTGTAGCTGTGGCAGAATAGGTAGGTGCCAAAATACTCTTCTTGGGTTACACATGGAAATGTAATTAGCCTGTTCACTGCAGCAGACGCACTTCTATTTTTTAGCATGCTAGCTTGATCAGAGCTAGCATGGCTATCTCTACCTGATCTGAAAATTACCTCTTCAGCTCCAGTGTAGAAATGGTCTTAGCTTCTCTGTGCCTCCCTTTTGTCATCTGTGGGGGAAAAAAAAAGGATTCTAGCACTTCAACTCACAGGATACAGCAGCTCTGATATGGGCACTAGCAAACCAACATCCAAGTGATATGAGATTCCTAATGTACAGACAAACTACTTTTAATAACTGACTACAATCCCAGCATATCAAAAGAAAGCAGTTTTCATTGTAACTAACAGAAAAAATGTAAAAAGGAATTTCTTCATCAATTTATTTTTTTGAGATGACTGACTACAATCCCAGCATATCAAAAGGAAGCAGTTTTCATTGTAACTAAAGAAAAAATGTAAAAAGGAATTTCTTTATCAATTTATTTTTTTGAGATTATATTGCAGTGGGGAAGGGGCAGTAGCCTTTTTCAAAAGAATGAAAAACCCAGGGGCTTTTTGCTTTAGTTTTTAATTCTCCTCTCTCTCAAATACTTCATTCCATCTGACACAGGCTGTCCAGGAACAATCTACTCTGGCATAAGTTCCCACATGTATGCCTGAAAATTAATGTTTACTGCATGAGGTTAGTGTATGGTTAAAAATGTTGCACTGGAAATCTAGCTTCAGTGGAAAGACTTGTACTTCTCCATAATAACCCATATTTTAATCACTTTTTCCATGATTTAAAAATACTCAGCCACCTCTGAGGGAAATTGTGACTTTTTTGTTGGTGATGATTTTAAATGATAGTGAAATAAGTGCAAGTGAATGCTGATAACTTGTCAGCTCTGGAGGCACACTGATTACAACACTGTGGATAGAGCTGGTTTGGTGTCTTATTTGAAATGTTTTTGAAAGAAATATGATTTCAGCATAATCAAATTTTTTCATGTATGCTTTGTGTCTCTAAGGGGCTTCTCTGTGGGCTGAACTCTGGCTGGACTACATATCCCATGATTCAATGAAATCTTGCCTTCTAGTTGCACAGTCTTGGTCCATCATAGTAGTCATGTGATCCAAAGTACATTATGGGATGCAGTCTGGCCAAGGGATATGGCCCACAGAGGAGAATGGAAGCCTGAGGCACTTGAACTATACTGTCTGTGAAGCACTGAGTCAACTCAAGAGGGACACAGACGACTGTCAAACCAGTATGAAATTAAATCATGTTTTGGTTCAGTCCAACAAACTGGAATAAGTGATTTTGATCCAAGAAGGCTGAAATGTTTTATTTTGGCAGGAAATGTCAAAACAATGTTTTGAATTGAAAATTTCTGGCACTTTTTATTCCCCTTATGCAAGAAAATGAAATATTTATGACTAAAATGAAACAGTTTATCATTAGATCCTAAAAGATATAATGAAATTAAATAATCCACTTAGCAGACTAAAGCTCTAGTGCACCACAAGGCAAAAATCTATTAAAAAGTTGACCAGCTAAATGAAGGTCAATTGCATTTCCCATGTAACAAACAGAACAAGATTCCGACAGCAGTGAATGCCTCTTCTAGGGAAAGGCCTGCTAGTTTGTATGTGTATGTAACGATATATTGTGTTTCAGAAGCTTCTCCATTCATGCTTGTTTTCACTTCAAGCTTACAAGGTCTTCTCAGTCAAAAATGTATCAAACACAACTACTTAAAGAGAGTCGAGAATTTTGGCTTGGCTTTGTTCAACTTGCTTACACCAGTGTAAATTCAGAGTTATTCCATTCCAACCCCAATGCTGTTAGCTGTGCTAGGAATATTTACATTAGGTTGACTTTGGGTTTTGCATGTATGTGAAACCAACCTTTTTTTTTTATGGGTCTCAACAGCATTGATTTTGTTCTGACGACAGCAGGCAATTA